AAAAGAGATAGTTTACCTAGGCTAAGCTCGGCTGAGGATCAGGTTAAAGCAAGAGGATGTGTTAGATGCTGAGGTCGGCTGTCAGTTAGCATATTAGTTGGATTCGGCTAGGGCAGGATGTGGGTTTGTGAATGGAAGAGTTTGGCCTGTTGAGGATTTGGGCGTCGGAAGCTTGCAGTCTGAACTGTTCGATAGCTTGGGGGATTCGAATGGAGGAGGGTTCGGTCTAAGGGATTCGGCTACTGAGATGTGAGGAGGATGAGGCTTCGGAGCTTGTGGAGGTTTTGGGATTCAGGTGGCTTGACGAGAGTGGGAAAGTCGGAATAGTGACTGTAAGAGGCGAATCGAATAGGGCTCCTAGGTCTGAAGGGATTAAAGCAGGTCGGAGCTAGTTGGGTTTGGCCTGGAGGTTTGGGAAGGTCGCGAGCTCTATTGGCTAAGGAAGAAGATCGAACGTGGAGAGCAAGAGGAGGTGGACGCCTTCTTCCTTTGGCTGCTTGAAAGAGGCGAATACAGTGGGAGATCGGATGCTTGTGGGGTTTTCGTGTGGAAGAAGAGTGAAGAAGGAGCGGGATTCTTGCGTTTGTGAAGGCGGGAGAGGAAGATAGAGCCTCTATCTTCTCGTTTTAACGACGCCAAGAGGGCAAGTCTTCGCACGCCAGCGACCAGACGATTCGGCGCAGTTGCAGGTAATGAGTACTGTAGCGGAATTTCTATCGAAGATACGGGATGCATGAGGTATGTAATGATTTAGCAAAAAAAATATTCTTTTTTTTTTATCCTATTTTAGGGGTCAACAGTTTAGATGAAGAAAACTTTTATTTGTTTCTTTAGAAGTAATTCTATGTATTGAAAGACATCACCATTAGTTATAATTCATTTGAGGTTTATTATTATGTATATTAATTGATTGTGTTTGGTATGAATAGAATAATCTGAAGGGTAATCTTGAAAGCTAGGAAGGAAACAAATATCTATTTTAAAAGTGGCTATATCTATTGTTTGTTGTTGACAGGCATAATTTTGCATTTGTGGTCAACTGTTACTTCAATATGTTGATTGGAGGATGCTTGATTGACTCGGCTCTTTGCTGCTGATTTATCTCTATTCACATTGATGAGGTTGTTGCGTGCATTGTTTGGTTGTATTTTCTTTGAAGGGTTTATGGTTTCTAATCTACATGATTATGTGGTGGCTGTATTGAGTTATGTATATTTCTTAAAGGTAATGGTGGAGAAGGCTGAGAGAAATGATATAACAAACATTGACAAGAAGAAGCAAGTCCTTGTTGTACTCATTAACATGTTTTTGGTTTTCTATTTTTATTGGGAATTGTGAGTGTAAATCGCATTTCAAAATTTCTCCACCAATCAATGAGCTTCGGATCCTTTCAGTGTTTTTTATTTTAATTCACGCATCAATTATTTACAAAATTGTAGAAATGCTTGTGTAGTAGAGTACGACATGCAGATATTCTTATGGAAACAAAAGTTACTAAATGACATGATTGTTATGTCCATAATCTCGCATAGCTATGAATGAAGACCGCGGATCTTTTCTATTCGCATGTGCTTAAATCTATTACTTGTTAGCTTCTAATCAATTTATCAAATGCCACAAAGTTGAGGTTTTCCCTCTTTTGGGAATGTATAAATTCAAATCTAGCAATATTTTTTCCTTTTTTTTTTTTTTTTTTTTTGAGAAGTATCAAATCATTTCTATCAATCTAACTTCCTTGCTAATGTGCTTGTAATTCTATTGGAATAGATTAAATCCTCTAATATGTATCTATGATAATTATTCTCATTGTATTGGTTTGTTAGTAATTTGAAATAAAAAAAATGTGTTAGGACATCGTGATGGAGTTTTCATGAGGATGAGTTTTCCTACAGTTAGATTTACAATGATATTTGGGAAGCTCTTGGATAGTATTAATGTCTCCATAAATGCAATCCATCATTTTTTTTTCTCTTGGAAATAGGTTAATTTAACCAAACAATGTTGCTTATTGGATATATAGATATTTGATTCCTACAGACCTGACAGTAGGGCAGTTTGTTTACATGATTCATATGAGAATCAAATTGAGTGCAGAGGTCATTTTTATATTTATCGATAACTTGCTTCCACCAACAGATTTTTGTCTTCCTCTTTAAAAAATCTTAAGTTTGTTTTAGTAATAAGGTAGCAATGATTTTTTTTTTCTTGTTTTCTTGTTTTTTTTTATGATTTTTCTAGGTTTTGTTATGTCAAAATATATGAAGAAAAGAAAGATGAAGATGGATTTCTTTGTCACATGCATTGGAGATAAACATTTGGTCTTCTCACTTCCAACCTTAGTTAGATTTCTATTAGAAATTCTAAATTCATTTATGATGCTTTCTTGTCTTGCCAATATTAATAAGTTGTACTGTTAAATTTCTATAAATAATTTAATGTGATCGCTTGTTCGTATGTTGATATAGTAATATTTGAGTTTCACAATATGGTTTTAATATATATTCTTTTTTTGATAGATAATATCATTGATATTGCATGTTATAACTTTTTTTAAAATTTTATTATATAATTTTTAGTTTTAAATTTTTTATTTTTGTACATCATGTGTATGTGAATATATATATACTATTACAAAAAGACTTAAGTTTCTTCCCAAATAAATGCATGACCGTTCAGCTTAATTATTGAAATCTAGTCCCAACCTTCGATAATAGATTTTTAATAAATTTCTATTAATCTCGCTGTTATTCACCCTATATGTGCAATTGTTGATTAAGTGCATTAATTACTTTAAATGACAATTATCGTACTCAACTATTTACGCAAGTTCTTACCATCCATGACTCTTTATAAGCTTCTCCATCAATTCGACGAGAAGCTCTACTTCCGAATTTAGGTTTCTCCTCTTCAGAGTTGAGTTCTTCTTTTGACAATATCTCCTCTTCTTCCCCTCTCTGCAATCTTCAGGTTCGCATCTTTTGGGTTCTTTCGGTTATAACCCTTCGTCATAAATTACTGCTCTCCGCCTTCAGGTTTCACCATCTTTAGATTCTTACCATCTTTAGACAATAACTCTTCATCTTTGTTTAGCTCGTTTATAACCCTTCATTTCACATCATTTCAGTTAGGCTATTCGCTGCCCTTCATATACCCTAAACCTCCATCGACATGCACTGCTCATTGGACATCTTTAGAATCACAACCGAATGCATTTTGGAGAATATGGAGAAGAAAATGAGGGAGATCAATCATCTGAACTAAAATTGACGTCTACACTTATAAATTGACGTAAGATCCTTCAATTTCCTATTTGCCCTCCTCTTTGGTTTTCTTCGCCAAGTGAAATGTCTTTTCTCCCAAATTTCAAAAAATATCTCAATTGACTACTATTGTGGTGGAAACTTCACACCAACAGCCAAAGAAGGAGCTTAGGCTTCTGCTCAATCCAGCCAAAGTTTATAAATCATTCTGGAAACTTGATTCTATTAATTTTTTCTTCAATTAAATACCATGTCATTGGCTAATTTGTTTCTTTGGAGTGTATTAAAGGGTGGTCCTTGTTTTGATGACATCTTCAATATCTTTAGATATTTTTGTCTAATTGTGTCCTAATTTCTATCTCTGATGATTTAAAATCTGAAAAACATAATTGCAGATATTCGATATTCCTCTATGAATTGTTTGAGTGAGACGCATGATGCGGACATCCGACCATGAAAGCTTATCAAAGGAGGAGACGAAGATCGACGGCCATGATCACACCATTTTATTTTAAGTTATTATTATTATTATTTATTTATTTATGCATTTTTGTTTTTACCCTCATTTGAGGGAGTAGGTGCTTGTGACCCCAGGGGGCACTTTTGTCTTTTGTTATGTATTTTGGGATATTTATAGCTAGGGGTGTCAATATTTGACCCGACCCGAACCCGACCCGAAAATTTCAGGTTCGGGTCAACCCGAACCCGAACCGGGTCGGGTTCGGGTTAGGGATTTCGACCCGTTTGTAAAACCGTGTCGGGTTCGGGTTGACCCAGAAACCCGAAATCAACCCGGTTTGACCCGTTTTTAAATAATTTAGGAGGGTTTTAATGGATTTTTATGAAATAAGTAAATGATATTTCAAAAAATTATAAACATTAGTGCCCAAATTAAATTAATCTTGATTTATTTTAAATTAATTGAAGTAAATCTTTCCTTAATTTGATTTAGATTTAAATAAATTGAATTAAATAAAAAAATTTAATAAAATATACCCGAGTCGGGTCGGGTCGGGTTGACCCGAACCCGAAGCGGGTCGGGTTTGTGTTCGAAAAACCGACCCGTTTGCAAAAACAGTGTTGGGTCGATTTTGGGTTGTACCCGAACCCGACCCGTGACCCGGTTTTGACAGCCCTATTTATATCCTCCTCTTTTCTTGTAATGAGGATGGAATATTATTAAGAAAATTTTTCTGCACTTTGTTCTTGAGGGCTATGGGAGTTCCCTATGTGAGGACAACGCAATACCCACCAGCCGCAGGAAGAGTTCGGGCTTGTGGTTTGAAGTCCCTAGGTGAAGGGCGCAACACATCACCTACCAACTACAGGAAGCATCCGAGTTTGTGGTTTTATCTCTTCCAAACTCCCTTTCCCTCCCCCTCCTCCAATCCGCCAACCACAACCTTCCCCTTGCTCTCCTAAGCCGTCAGCCACCATAAACCAACCCCCCTAGTCGTCGGCTCCCTTTCCACCCTAACCCTCACAGCCGGCCAACAAACCTCCACATTAAAACCACTTCCTAACCCTAATCTCTACATAGCCGCCGACCACTTCCCTCTTCCCTTGGCTCCACAAATTTCATCTTGCATTTAAAGCCCTTCATATTTTAGCCCTCTTGCTTTGGCAACAAATTTTTTGAATTCAAAATTCAAACTAATTTGAATTTGAATTTGTTTCCTAAATAAGGATTTTTATTTTAGGAAAGTTACTTAAAATTAGATCCATTTAAAATTCCATTGGATTTAATTTAAATTACTCCTTCCTAATTTAAGATTCCAATTAAAGCATGCTTTAATTCTCTTTCCCTAAACCCTACTCATCCTTCCCTAGCCGCCGCCCCCTTGCTCCTCTCTCTCTCCAATTAATTCCTCTCACCCATTAATACATGGGTCCACATACAATGTATGTGGACATCTCTTCCCCTCCCCATATGGCCGGCCCCCTCTCTATCTCTCTTCTTAATTAATTCTTCCCATTAAGGCCTCCAATTAAAGCCTTTTTTTCAAGGAAAGTCGCCCCCTTTAACCTCCATTTTTGGACATTTAATTTTGAAATTTATTCCCTCCTTTCTTACTAAAATTCTGAATTGAAATATGCTACAATTTGCTCATGTGAGTCACAATCAGTATATGGTTTTTTCTCGTTCTAATCTTTTTTTTATAGAATTTCTATTTTTTAACAATCTTTGAATTATATTTTCAAGCTACGCTAGTGTTTCCTAATTTTCATAAACAATAACTTTTTTCTTGAACTGAAGAAATGAACATTTTCATAAATTACCAAATTTAGTAACCCATCAAGTAAATTTTCCTAATCGATAACTATATTGTTAACCTCTATGCCATAATAGAAGCAACCTAACAAATGTTACAAGCCCTCCCAGGTGATGTCAAGGTTATGGAAACCAAAAAATTGTTCAATATATCCAGGTTTGCATTTTATCTTATAGATTTACTTATTCAATCATTTAGGTTTGCTTTAATTTGATAGAAAGACTTATCTGAGTAATAAATTCAACCATAGAGGTAAGAAATAACCCACCATTGGAGTTGCAAAGCTCAATATTGATTGTTTATTATTCTTATAACTAAAATTTCTATGATTTTGCTGAGCCACATATGTCGTTTATGCTTCCTTGCTCTAGGTATCTTTTACTAGGAGCTTTTGGTGATGCACTATTAACTTATTTAATGTGGTCAATCAACATTTGTTAGATGTATAAATATTGGAGTTAGCCCGATGACACTTTGTATCATGTGTAATCTTATCATCAAGGCATAATGTTTCAAATGATTCAAAGTACCAAGCTCCTAAGGTTGAAATTCTAATTAGACAATATGTCAATAGTTTGTTGTTATTTATAATACATGATTTTTTCTTGATTCATTACAAGATAACCTAGCTTAAGTCATTTTTTTAGTGTTCATAATATTAAGAGCTTGTGAGTATTCAAAGTGCGCCTTGACAATATCTGAACTAATTAGAATAATAATTTAATGTGTATTTGTTGTCTCAAAAAAGACTGTTCTTGGTCATGCAAATTATAAAACTTCCTAAAGATCTATATGAAGCTATATAAGAATATTTTTTTTCCCACTCAAATTATAAGTATTATTAACGAGCTATAT